AGAGTCTTGTATTAAATTTTCAAGCTTTTCTACCCAACAAATACATTTTTATCGATATTAATTGTAAAAAAACTAATAATGATCGAAAATTTCATATGCCTATAAATAGTTCAACTTAAGTCGAAWTTTTTTGAAAATTGCATAGTAGATAGAATATACATAATAAACATTCGGTGAAAATTCCATGTATCTATGGTCATTTTTTTTAAAGTTACATCAAAAACCAAAATCGATTTTATCGAAAACTGATTGCGCGTAAAATTTCCCGTTTTCCCCTTAATTTTTAGTTTGTTTATTCCGATTATTTAGAAAAATACTTTTTACCCCCCAAAGTACCAACTAGATTCACTTTCTGATCGAACGAGGTAGGTACTCACATCAYAGTAAAATCAATACTTTCCTMGCTTCGCTCAAAATCTAAAATAGTTCAAAAATGGCTAAAATTTTCCGAACTTTAAAACGTAAAGAACAAAATCCAAAATACAACAAGAAAGATCTCTTGTTATTTTTCATCTGAAGCAATATTTCTGGCAGAAAACGTCGTCCGTAATTATTTAATATTATAAAATCGTGAAATCGTGAAATCGTACTTTTTTCTCCTTTAATCGCTTTTATTTCGAGTACTGTTTCGAAAATTGAAAAATGACCTGTTTAATATACCAGCTCAAGAATATTACCTTTCAGAAAAGATGCTACACTTCATACTTTTAAGCAAGTTTAGAGCGAGAAAAAGTGTACAGAATAAAAAAGAAAAAAAAAAGAAAAAGAAATAAACATCATTGTAAAACCAATACATTCCTCGCTCCGTTCAGAATCTATAATAATACATATTTTAAGCATATTAAATATAGAATCTTAAAATTTATAATTTGTAATAATATTTCCACGGCGCTTCGTATTTTTTGTCATTTTTTTTTTATGCGTTTAGGATTTGCGCAGTTAATTGTGACGTAATAGTATTTGCTTTTTCGATGATACAATAAAAAATAAAATTATCATACTATACGTCATATTACTATCATTGTACTCTGTAAACTATAATCTATTATATCCGTTGGTCTTACTGTTATTATGTTTTGTTAAATTTTAAATAAATCGAAATAATAAAAATCAATAATTGCATAATACAATATATATATATAATATATAAGTATTCAGTATATATTATAAAATTATATTTATATTTATTTTTACAAACAAAATATTGTTTTTTTTTGTTATGATTCATACAATCAGTCAATTGAAAATATAACATTTTGTATTTAACATTAAAATATAGGTATATCAAGAATATGATGAAAAATAAAATAAACGTGTTCTAAAAAAAATACTTATCTAATTCACATACAATTAGCAATATTACAGTTTAAAATAATTAATACTAAATCTTTAATTTTACATATTATTATAAATATTTTTCGAAAAAATGTTAAGGTCAAGTATAACTATTTGGTGTAAATTAATTTATCAACTATAGTTATTTACTAGTTGGAATAATAAAGATAATTTCTAAAAATGAGCTATTATTAACGAATCCTCCTTTTGCCGAAACGGTGAACAAATAAAAAATGGAACTTTCGACACAGGTAGAATGGTTTACCTGAAATTTAAAATAAATTATTATTATCTATACCAGATACTTAATTTAGTTATATTATTTTTGTATAAAACCTATATATGTGTACATAATTAAGTAATGTGAATATTTACTTATATGCTACTCACCGAAATAATTTACACTTCAGTTGTTTCGGTTTTAGATGAAAAATTGGAAGTAATCATAAGTCCACCACGATCGTCGTTCACTGAATTATACCGTGGATGTATAATTTTTGGATCGTTTAGCGGACTTTTGTCCGACATCGTTCTTGGAGGTTTTTTTTTTTTTTTCACAAGACCAAAAAACCCAATCGAAATCACACCCTAAAAAATAAAAACATTATTACTATTAATTATTTATATGAAATATAAACTGTAACATATACGATCGYATATTATTTTATCAATATATAATTATATAAAGTATACACGTTAGTGTTTAAATCGTCAAATATTTCGTTTTCATTAATTTACTTGTTTGTAGAATTWTATAGAGCTACAAAAGACTGCTTTCATAATATAAATATAGATTAAAATATGTCATAGTAATGATATTGCTAATCATTATTGATCTTTAGTATTTATTACACTTTGAGTGGAARGAAAGTTGACGTTATACTGAACGCAAATAAGTAGTTATTTCCTTATACTTTTACTTTATACGCAAGAAGTTGAAATACTTTTTATTGAAAAGCTTAATAAATTTGGAGATGAATATAAGATATTGTATGATTTGTATTCATGCTTGAACATTACTAAACTTAATTAATCAATCATCCAAAATAATTAAACGATAAATAGAGATTGAAATTAAATAGTGTAGGTATATATTTGATAAATGAAAAAAGCATAATATTGAATACAATAAACCAATTATAATTTTATAAATGTTAAAATTTGATTGAAATTTGAAATTGCGTTACGTATATTGTTAGATGTGTATAATTTATATCAATAACACAATTTAATATTGTTCCTTTACGATGAAATTAATAAAACATTTTTTATCCTTAATCAAATATCCCAAAGGATAGGGTTATTCTCTATGCAATTATAATTTACTAAGGACAGCGCTTTTACTACACACCACCCAAGCCCTCATAAGTATCGTCCAATAAAATAAAAAGTAATTATACTTTGACACTCCCCTTAGCTACGGCACAGGATATTTCTGGATACACAGAAACGCACTATTGTGACATAATACACACAGATATTTCAAATGCTATAATATTAATTGTCTTTAAAGAGATAAACACCGATATTTAATTATAATATTTCGTTTTTAAAAATACCTCAACTTTAACTTCAATAATATTATAYTAATGAGATACTCTTTTATACAGAATTATATTAGATATATAGGTAGTAAATAACAAAATTGTTGACACTGAATATTGTAAAAAAAATATCTTACCACTACTAAACAAAATAGACCCATTGTGGTCATGCATATAGAAAACCCGAAATGTTGTAAGAGGACGCCTCCCAACGATGGACCGGTCATATCACTGAAACGATGAAAAAACATGTTTAGAGTTTATTACTATTTTATTGTACAAAGTTAGTGCGGCTTGCAAGGGGACAAAATATATTATCAAACACAGACAACAACGGTGATAAATAAACACAAACGAAAATTGTACGGTTGCAATAATATAGATTCTCATAAATCCATTTTTTCACTAATTTTGCGTTCAGTTTAAAAWTTTTTTTGTGATCTAACATTTTATAACATTTACTACGTTTATATGATGGCGTTAAAACGGTTCAAATTTTAAAATTACATAGTACGAGTGTTTTAACGCCATCATAAACGTAGTAAGTAACAATTGTTGTAGGTACCCGAGTGAATAGGCTGACGACCAAAACCCGGCGACGGTTCCAAATGTAGAAACGCTTTCTTGAAATCCATTTTCTCTAAAAACAAAAGTGTCCATTAAAATTAAATTATTATTAATTGTATAGTGCTCCTAGGGATTACACTTATACTATACATAAACGCAATGTATGATGCATATGGGGGGGATGGGGGGGAGTGTTAATCCCAAACATTTCATTGAGTTCCCCAAAAGGTTTATAATGAGAGAAATCGTTTTTATTATGATGTAATTATATTTCTTTTTATCAACATCAMTATCACTTAGCAATTTGTAACCACGATACAACTGCTGTAAACCCAAATAATTTGGTTATGTGTTAACTATAAATTCATAATATTATTGGTCACTAAAAATGTAAAATATCGATAGTATGTCAGCTGCAGCAGCCAGAGTCCTACAATTGTTTTCTCTCCTTGAAATCCTGGACCACGTGAAGTGAAGTCAATTTACGTTTGGCGAAATAAATCTTGTGTTGTTAGATAATTATAGAGTGAATTAACAAATTTGAATGCAAATTTATTTGCAGGTAGGTACCTATGTAATAAAAAGTTATTTTATAATATTATACCATTCGAAAATTATAAAGTATGAACACTACACAAATAATGTTCTTGCCTTTAATTCTGGTGATAAGTCTATTCAATTCAATATTAAAAATTGTATTGTATCATTAATATTAAATTAAGTTAACAACACTATAGATTGTTTTTGTCAAACGGAAGTTCGCTATATTTCGTGTGGTCCATAGAGAAAGAAAAAAAACAAAATACAAAACTATAGTGCACTGACATCTTAATACAATATTATCTCAATTCGGGTGACATCGTCTACCCGTCCATTTCCAGTTATTTTCTTTTTGATTTTAGTTACAACTTTTCATGTCGTTTCTGATTTTGCGTCGTAATTTATTTTATCGTAGACGGGTGTGTGGAGAACAACCTCTGTCCTCTACACCCACACCCACTCTCACGCGTGACAGTCCATTGTTATTTTTATATAACAACGTTCCAATCAATTGTTTTCGTAAAAATCTTGTAAGACAGAAAAATCGCAGTTAAAGCAAACTAAATGCAGGTTTGAGCTGTTTGATAACTAATAAATTGTTATTTCAAATTCCTTTYCCAAGAAAAAAATGGGCCTAATTTGATTACGCCTATGCCTATATCAAGACTTATTAGTTTAATATTATTACGCAATATGTGAAACTTACATTGCACTCGATAAGATGAAGTTAAATGCTGGCATCATCGTTAATGATGCAGACACTCCCAAAATTCCAAGTCCAACGAGGTTCAACCATAAGACACTGTAAATTACAATAGTCATTCATARTAATTATGCCATATTACTCATAATTCATATTGTATATTATACAATATATATAACATAAAATACTTACATAWTAATATTTTGTTTTTATTTTATATGATTTAAAATATATTTTATTTAAGCCCAATGCATGCCTACCCACATACATATTATTATTTTTTTATTGAATATTAACCAGTTTTTTTAGTTTTTTTTTTCTTGGAAAGTTGCATGACATAATGAACAGCATACTTAAGATAACAATTTATTATAATTTAATGATACGCTTATATACTGTCAATTGGCTGTTACAGTATTATGTATAAGTAAATCAACTATATATTATTCTGTATTTAATTCTGGAATTTAAAATTGTCTAGATAAACATTATTATAGCTAAAATCTAAAAGGTTTTAGATATTTCATATAATGTGTTTTCTATAGTCTTCAAATAATATTAGCTTATTTTTGTTCGCTCGAAAATGATTTTCTTTTACTCGTGATAAAAACACGAAACTGAAAACATTATCCGCACTATACTATATACCAGACAAAAGTCTCTCAATTTATATGGTCCAACCATAGACAGTCCAAAAATAAGTCATAACATTATTTTGCCAATTTGTCGTAAAAATAGCAAATAATAAGTCGTATCAACAAGAAAAAAAATATAATAAAACAAAATAACAAGAAATATAGAGATGTATTTTCTTTATAATACGGGACATTGGCAAATACTTTTAAATTATCATCGTGATTAACAATTTTAAGATATCTAATTGATACTTAAAAATACCAAGTAAGTCGTTCTGCTGTATAGTAGATGTCACGTACATAATTCTACCTGATCATGAAATAGGTCACTGTAATAAGTGTACAAATAAGTGAATAGAATAATAATAACAATAATAATAAACCTACGCATTAC